CTTTACAATATTTAAGACAATTCTAACATCTCTGTCATTTAGCTCTCTGTGTTAGCTTCCATTGATTATCTTTTTTCATTCAGGTTGAGATCCTCATTGTTAATGATATGATGAGTGATTCTAAATTAAAACATGGACATTTTGGGAATTATGTTATGAAACTCTAGGTCTTTCATAAGCCTTCTGTTTTAGCTGGCTTCCTCTGATACCACGTTGACAGAGGAAGAAGGGATGTTGACTCATTACTGTCAAGTGGGGGTTAAAAGTCCAGATACCCACTCAGACTCTATTGAAACCAGAAGAAGGAAGGATTTCTCATTAAGGCCAGGAAGCAGTAGAAGTTTCTGCTTCCTACTCAGCCTTCATGTCTAGGAGGAGCAGAAGGTCCTTGTTATTGTTTCCAGGTGGCTTCATCTGACACCACAGGGGCAGGAGATTGGCCTCGTTACTATGCAGCATTGGTGAAAGTTCTAATTTTCTTCTAGACTCCCTCTTACACCACTCCAGTTGGGAAAAGGAGCGGTACTTCCTTACTACAGAGTGAGGCTAGATGTCTAAATTCTCAGTGTGGTCTCTACCAACATTAAGGAAGAGGACTTCCTTCTTCCTGTCAGGAATGAGAGTTTGGGATCCCTGTCTGACTTCTCAGACACCTCAGCCTGGCCGGGGGGAAAGTCTTGGCTCCCCATTCTTTGCTACTATGGTTGGAGAGTAGGGCGACAGGATCTTTGTTTGTTTGCTTTTTCTGTGGTGCTGTCAGAGGAAGAGCTATTATTGTCTTAATTTTTATTTTTTTTATTTTTTTGTCTTGCTAAACTGTAGCCTTCCTAGTCCTTTGGCTGGAGAGAATAGGCTTTTGTTGGGGCTTTATTGTCTATATTCATTGGCATTTCTGGATAATGCGCTTCTTTAGCTCCAAGCCTGGTATATATGAGGCAACAGAAAATGAGAGTACTCATTCCCATGTTCTTCCTTGAGTCCCAAGATTTCTAGCCAGACTATCTTCCTTCTACCTTTCATAGTCTTCCTGATTATTGCATATATATTGTCCAGGGGTTTAATTTTACGTATTGGGAGGGTGATGGAAAAGTATATCTACTCCAACTTCCTGGAAACAGAAGTCCAAAAGATAGTATTTTAAACACTAAGATTGTTACACTTTAAATTACTACAATTGAATCTTTTTAACTTACCAAAAGTCTTTGATTTCCTCTTATCTATTAGCTTATAAGTGAATTTCTGGGATATACCACCATAATTTGGTTTGTACATATAAAAAAGAATTTTAATCTGATTTAGTTATAGAGAGAAAATACAATTTCCTTTCAACCAGTAATGATATTAAGATAATAAGTAATTCCCTATCAGATGAATTAGAAGTGAACAAATCATATTAGATGTATCAAGGTGAAAAGATGAATAAAAATAAACAGATTTAGGTTCAGCTCTGAATGCCAAACACTAAGACAACTAGAATATTTTGAGTTTTTTACAAGTGAATAATTGTATATTTGCCTATAATAGTATTACTGGTCTTTCATTGTCATTCTAGCCATCTATACATAAAGAACAAAATAAAATAATTATATTTTTAATTCCAGATACTCACATCTACTATGACAATATAAGTCACTAGTCCCTGCTCGGGCACCATTCACCCCCTCACATTGCCCAGCCTCCTCTGAACAGGGGCCATTTGCTCCCCCTGAGTATAATATACATCTTTCCAAAGACTTTTGGAGTTCTGCGTGGAAGATGTTCTCTCCTTCTCCCTCATTGTTTCCTCTCTAATCTTTTTCATTTCTCAATGTTTATCTCCAAAGTGACAGCCTACAACTCACCCTGGGCATGAATTGCCAATTCTTGGGCGAGACAGTACTTTAATTCAGTTTTAATGGATGAGTTAGAATTACTCAAAGGTGCAAGGCTGAGTAGGGAGAGAAAAGAGGAAGAGTAGGGCATTTGCATGCTTTGTTGGCAAAATGGGTCGAGTTAAAGAAGGAGGAAAATCACGTGATATATTTCAGCAAACCACAACAGCTTACTACTAATGTCAATTCTGAGACTAGCAGTGGTAGAAAATGAGGGTAGAAAGGGAGCTAAATATCACTTTAGGAAAGATTTGTACTTCATGAAAAATTTTGTACTTTTTAGTAGTCACTTAATAGACATTCAAATTTTTTGTCACTTAGGAGACATTCAGTTTTCTTCCTTCTTTCTGTCATTCATCTTAATCTACTTCAAATTACAATTATATGTGTACTTATGCTCTAAGATTGCAAATTTTTTCAGGATAGGATTGTATCTAAAACAGTAGCTCTAACTGGGGCAATTTTGCCCTTTAAAGGACATTTGCAATGTCGGCTGACATTTTTTGATTGCCTCAATCGTTGACTGTCTTGATGGTAAGATGTTACTAGTTAAACATCCTAAAATGCACAACAGACCCCACAAAAAAAAAAAAAAAAAAGATTGCTCAATCCAAAATGTCAACGGTGCCAAGGTTGAGAAACTCTGACTTAATCTTTGCAACCCAACTAGCAATTAGCAGAGTTGCACATTATAGGAGGCATTCAGTCGTCAGAAATGATTCGAAACCCATTTTCTGTAGGTAAATTTTATAAACTGCTATGAGGGAATAAAAATTAAATTAGAAATTTATATGGTGTAGGAAAATTAGAAGATAACAGAAGCTTATGAATCTTGATTAATTTTGGGGAAACAAATTTTCATGTGTATTTAGAAGTGACCAATTTAAAAGCTGAAGTTCTTTTAATCAGCAAGCTTTGGTAATGAAATGCAGCAGGATTTACTTTTACATCAAAGGAGCTCCCCTGATAGTTAAAAGAATGCAACCAAAGACAATGAAAAGATCACTGGTAAGCAGAATCCAGTGCCTTGGCTGCATTCTGGGAGAGTAGTGCGGTTAATAATCTAGAATCCAATGACACCCCAATGAGAAATGTAAACTTATTGGCCCTGAATCTCAGAATTTATTAATGCTCTTTACCTAGATTTTTATTTCCAAAGTAATGAAGTGATGAGTACGAATCAAAAGAAAAGTTTGCGATTGGGTAAAAAAAAAATTGCTTTACAGAAATTTAAGTAACAAGTATTTAAAACTGAAAAGAAGAGATGGACTATTGATAAATCTATAGCATCTAGCCATGGATGGTAAGGGCTTCATGTGGAGGAAGGAGAGAAACTATAAACCTTACTCCAAGGGATTTAAGCAAACCCATTGCCTCTTTACCTAGCCACAGCCAGATCCAAGTACATGACAGTGTACCCATGGGAAGGACTGGGTCACTCAGTGATTAGAGCAATTTCATTGGTCCTGGTACATGAAAGAGTAAGAAGTGTTAGTAGTCTGTTTTTCCAGTACCCATGAAGATGCTCAAGTCACCATGTCATTTTGTTTAGTCCAATCAAAATCTTTGCTAAAGCCAAATAGGAGACACTGGTTTTTAATAGTACCCTGTAGTCTAAGAATCCTGATGATTCTATTATATAAAGAAAAGTTCTTACTAGCACTATTTTGTTGCCAATAGCAACATATAATTCAAAAAGAAAAATGTTGATTTGATGATTTTTCTAAGATACATATGTTTTAAAAAGAAAACTAATCCTGCTAATACAGCATCAGTTATGCCTTTATTTAATGTTGTATTATGTGTATTGGTTCAGATACTACATTTGAGGGTGAGAGGGGAGGGGGTACACATTCTCTCTCATCCGGGAACTGACAACAAAAGCTCTCGAAGAACATGTTTCACAGGTCCTCTTCCCCACCCATTCCTTCACTGAGCAGGGTCATGACTTCTATGCCAGGATAACCACTGTTTCATCCCATTCCAGTTCTCTTAGAAGAGAGCTAGAATCTGCTAGGACATGCTTTCTCCCTCAAACCCAAATTTGAGCTTTTCTAAAGTTCCTTTTAACTAACCCCCCACCCCCACCCTTTATCTCATAATAGTTCTGTCTCATTAAACACCGATCCGTGTCCCCTCTGACTTAAAATGTTCCACTCTTGCCTTCCGGAAGGATCGCTGTTAGCTAATGAAAAACAGTTTCATTAGGCTTATCACGGCAGCTGCTTTCTGCCTTGTTTCTTGGCTTCCCGGTGGAAGGCCTTTTCTAACCGTCTCTTCCCCACACCAGATACTGTCTTGTAGGGTCACTACTCAGCCAGATCAATACCTTTCTGAAGTGCTGTCATAATAATCTTCATCACTGTTCTTAGGACATACTTTTAAAGATCCCCCAAACTGAATTATTTGGGGGAATAATTTTTCCAGTTTTCAAGAAATTACATTAGTTTGCTTCTTTCCAGCAGCACTCATAATCTGACTAAGTAAGTATTATACCGATATGAAGGAATGTAAACCACTCTATCTGAGGGGTAGATCTGAGGGAGCAGGTACCTGTGTTCTTTACAGGAACCAATTTCAGTGAGTGAAAACCTCCCTGACCATAGGAAGGTTTCCACCCAATGGCTTCTCTGTAAAATTCATCCTAATTATACTTGGTATGCCACGGTTCCTATTACAGGTCTGAATAAGAAGTCTTTTTTGCTTACAAAGTATTTATGCAACATATCATGGAATCTTCTTAATATTTTCTTCTCAAAACATTTTTATGATGGTCAGTTGCTGATAAAGTAAATTAGAAGTTGATTGGCACAAATGCAAATGTTATTGCATTAATGAAAGGCCATAATTCTTTTTTTCTTTTCCTATACCTAAAATAACATGTTTTAGATTGCCTGGCAATTTATAAATCTTACACATAAATTCAGTTCAGAGGAAAACATTTATTTATAAGATAGATAAACATCACTTGAATCAGGAGTCTACAGTGGAGTCAGGGTCCAGTCTGATGAACCATTTTGGAACACTAAATCTAGTCATAAAGCACCTGCCTTTGAAAAGTTACATCCCCAGTGAGATTCAGTTCTGTTGCCTCTGCCTCATGTCTAAAGCATCTTTGTTTTGTTTCAGCTGGCAGGGTTCATCTACGCCTGTTATGTTGTGAAATGTATAACTGAAGAAGAGGACAGCTGTAAGTATTAAAGCTCTGTTCTGTTTCTTTCAAGTTCAAAGCATCTTCTTTACTGCCTCCTACCTAGCCTTCCTAGTTCTCAGACAATATCCCCCAACACATCATTAGAACAGGGAATGAAGTGTTTTCATAAAAGTATACAGCATATTGAAAAGATATTTCTTTCTTTTCATTGAAAGGTGCTTTTAAGATCTATTCCTCTTATAACAATTCTAATAAGGGGTGTAGGGAGGAAACAGGAGATGGAAGTGATTTTTAAATGTGGTTAACTTGACTGTTCGCTTTTTATAAACCATTTATTAGGTATCTATAAGAAATCAGTTTTACCCAGGACTACAAATCTTAATTAACAATTTGCAATAGTTCCTAAAATTCTAACAAGAACAGACAGGATTAATTCAAGAAATTTGTCTTCGGGAAACCTTTTTCATATGTCCTTTTTGTTGCTATGCTTTGATACAAACAGCTAGAACTCTGTGTCAGAGTCTCAGCATTGAGCCTTATTGCTTGATCCATATTGAGAAGGTGGTACACTCTTACAATCCTCTAAGTGGCTCCGTTGTCCTCTGCTCTTTTAAAAATGGCAGGCAGAAGGTTTCATTTCTTCCTTGCCTCCTAAGGATCTGAAATAGGAGAAATGGGGAAAGTACTCCTATTCTCTCTGAGTACTATCATGGATACTTGTCCATATAACTATATTTACTCTGAAGAAAATTCAGAATTAAGAATCATTTGTTTTGTTTCCAAAAATATTCATGTCGATTGGGGTTTTGAAAAAATGGGGGAAAAGATGAGAGACCACTCCTCTGCTACAGGATGATTTGAGAAAAAATCCAAAAATAAATATGTGTTTCTTCTTCACTTTCCAATCATACTAGAAAGGAGGAGGCAGTATCAGGTGGTTAATCTAGAGGAGGCACTTTTTCAATCATACTACTATGTGATGTAAAAGCAGGAATACAGAATACATTCTTTACATTATTCTGTATGTAAAAGGAAATGATGATACTTTTCAATGTATCAAGTGCTCTATCTGGCTTTGGAGATTTTAAGATTAGTAACACACAATCTTTTACCTCTAGGAACTTACCATCTAGTAGAGAAAAACAAACACATAGACATATAAGTATAATAAAACTCTCTATAGTATATAGCGCAGAGAGATAGGAAAGGGACCAGGAAAGGCTTCATAGAGAATGACACTCTTAATCTTGGATTTGGAGGATGAATAGATGAAAGATGAATAGGATAGCTGATGGGGTAGTTAGGTGATCCCAGGCAAAAGATGAAAAAACACAAAGGCATATTATAGCTGGCTGTGTTGAGGGCAGAGCAAGCCAGATTAATATGACTGAATTGTATCCTATGCTAGAGGTAGATACCCAGAGAAGACTGGAAAAGAGAACATGGGCGTGACAATAAAAAAATGTTAAACAGAATAAGGAATTTGGACTTTATTTTGCATAGCATGATAGCAATTCAATTAGCAGGTAATTTAAAAATAGAACATAATCAGAAATATACTTTAGAAAAATCACATTCGTATCAATATGAAGAAAAGACTTCAGGACCGGGGAGAGCAGATTAGGGAAAATGAGACTAGTTAGACACCATGAAAATGACTGAGATATGAGATGATAAGGGTCTGGACTAGGGCCAGTATTAGAGATGGAGAGGATAGATATGGTATGAGACATGTTAAAAACAAAGTGATTTATGGGCTAGGGATGAGCACTGTGTAAGGGACAAGGAAAAGATTGATAGATTCCTGGGATTCTGTTATAAGTGAATGGGTAAATGGAAATATCACTTGAGGAAAGTAGCATGGGGAAGTGACAGTTGGTTCACTTTGAACAGGTTGAAGTTGGGGTACATAATGAATATATAAGAGAAGACATCTAGTAAGCACTTGTCTTATGCACAAAAGATTTATTCAAAGATTAGGAAGAGTAATAGATGATGGATTTTAAAATACACGGACCCCACAAACTATGTGAGTTCACTTAAATATTACCATTCAGTGTTTGTGTGCCAAATCCTTGATGAAAGGGAAAGTCTATGGGTTAAATTTCATATGGGAAGTAACCTTTCCTTAGGCGACAGTGACTGATTTTATTTCATAATGATGCCAGTGCATTTTCATCATCAGAAAATACTGACTCACCAAGTTTCCTAGATAGACAATCAGTATCTCTCCAGAATAGTGCCTCCCAAAGGGGATCACAGAAATGCTAATTCTATAAGATATACTGCTCAAAAAAGATCCCAAAGCCAAGTAAGTTTTGACACAGAAAATTTAAAATGCACATTTATATATTCACATCTCTGAGAGTACTGCAATAAAGAAGTATGTTTGATTTTTCCTATCCACAGTTTTGTTTTAATCATATTACATTGGGTGAACTATAGAGAGGCCAAATGCAGATCAAAGAGAAGAACCAAAAATAGCTTCATGGTTTTATTTTACTCGGAGTTCCTCAGGGAGAGCACTTCATGCCACACAGGGCCACTCAGGAAGCATCAGGTCGGTCAGCAGAGAGGGAGAGAACAGAACTGTAGACAAGCACCTTTACTGTGGTTTCTTTCCATCTAAATAAATGGATGATGCAGGGTAAGCGGGTTTAGTATTCGCTAGCTAAGTTTGAAAATGACACCCCGTGAAATTTGTGTTCACAGTGACACGAAAATATGATTTGGGACTATCTAAAGTCTCCAGATATGTTAGAAAATATGATTTGGGACTATCTAAAGTCTCCAGATATTTTAGGTGAGCTAGGGTTTACTTGAGAACAGTAAGTGATCATTTTGTAAATGTTGAGGTATCAATTATAGAATTTAAAAGTATAGTTAATATCCAAACATTTGACCATAAAACTCTTTTTCATAAGCAATCTTACTATTCCAGAGCATTAGAATTCCAGAGAACTCATTTTAGGGAATTTTGCCCTAGATCGAGTTTTGGCCAAAGACGTGTCAATCCAAGGAGATAAGAAGTCACAAATATCTTTTGAAAGATCTGGTTTACCTTTCAAGCATATAATAACCTATATTCCAAGTCTCTCAAATATAATGCCTTTGTCTTTGAATGTGTTTTGACCATAACACATTATCTGCCTTTACGAATTCCAAACATAAGCTGACTTCTCATAGGCAAGTTTTGTAATTTTAGTCTTTTTGCTCAGTGGGCAAGATATAAATTTTTATAACCAAGTAGACTGATTCTTATCTTAGACTTATATGGGACTAAAAGCCTGGAGGAGATGTTCATTGGGGCCAGTTCTCCTTTCAGCTAGGTTCATTTACTTGTGGTCATTCACACTCACACAGACAATCAATGAGTATTTGTTGAGTACAATGCTTTGGATTAATATTTCCCATATATTATCATTGTCTTGGTCACTTGTCTGTATGTTCACCTCCTGACACTGACTAGAACACATGACTTTCATAAAGAAAATTATTTCGATCCTTTGAAAGTTTACTGACTTGATGAAAGTGAAACACACACACACACACACACACACACGTGCTCAAGGATAAAAAAGGTTTAAAATTTCTGTCTAATTTTTGGTAATTATATCATAAAGAAAATTATTTCGATCCTTTGAAAGCTTACTGACTTGATGAAAGTAAAGCACACACACACACACATACACACACACACACACACAAATGCTCTCAGAAAGTAAGCGCTGACATATGTGAAAAGTTTAATGTCTATGTAAACAGGGAACAGATCTCTGTGTGTCTATTCTTACCTGCTGTGGATTTGAATAAAGCATCCTGATAGGAGTGTCATGCAGGAGGAAGTGCTAACAACCTTCCTGCCAAATTAGTTAATTTTATACTCCTAAGAGCCTCATGAGGAACAGAGGGCAGTTTTGGTTCTTTAACTATGCTGAGAAAGAACTGCAGAGATAAGAGCCCAACTATGGCAACTGGAAAACTAAAGTGTTCTCTGCATCGATATGAAGCTGACCAGCTATGTGTTCGGTTTTGGCACTTCAGGCCTCGGCAGCAAGTGTAGCCAGGCAGAAACCTCTGGGAGCTATGGAGAGGGTTCAGGCTCCGGGAGCAAAGACTCAAACTTAGACGCCATGAAATGGGAATGAATCATTATTGATCTAGAGGGAGTTAAACGGCAGGCACAACAAATGCCTGAAACTGTTTATCTTATATCTCCTTTTAAACAGTATCTCATTTGCTTTTCTAGAGCCCCATGCGATTAATATTTATACTGACATTTTAATGCAAAGTTGTTGTTGTTGTTTCCTATGAAGAAGCCTAGACCTCAAACTTCACATCTCTGACCCTTTTGTTATCTAAGCCAGAGTCGAAGCCTGACAGGCTGGCTGGCCTGGCTATGCCAACTCACAGGACGCCACTGCCATCTGCTGCACCTCCCAGGAGATAACAACCACGCTGGGAGCGCTGGTGTCAAGCAGGAAGATGCAGACACTCCTGACCCCATTTACTAGTCCCCTGGGTCTATAATAACAAAATACGACAACTGGGTGGCTTACACAGAGATTTATTTTCACACAACCCTTAAAGCTAGAAATCCAAGATCAAGGTGTTGGCAGGTTTGCTTTCTTCTGAAACCTCTTTCCTTGGCTTGCAGATGGCTGACTTGCTTTGTCCTCACATGGCCTTTCTGCTCTGTCTGTGCATGCCCTTGGTGTCTCTTTTTCTTCTAAAAAGAACACCAGACCGATTGAATTAGGGCCCCACCCTAATGGTCTCATTTAACATCAATTACCTCTTGAAAGGCCCCTTCTCTGAATAAAAAGACATGAGGGAGGTTAGGCCTCCAACATACAGATTTTGGGAGAACACAATTCAGTCTGTAACACCCAATATCCAAACACACACACACACACACACACACACACACACACACACACACACACACACACACACACTATGTAGCTCTTGGATATTTGAAAATACCTGTGGGGCACAGAGTGAGTCTAGCTTTGGCTCACAGGTCCATCAAACGC